TTGTGCCCTATACTTTTTTATCTTAAAATTTCACAGTCGTGGTATTTTTCGTTTTCTATACATCACCATGTGTTCGCAAGCGCAAGGGGGGAACGGGGGGTCGGGAGGTTCTCCTCTCTTGGGTTTGCTTTTTGCGCATGGTTTGTAATGTTCATAGCGACAACTCACGTTTTTTATGATTTACAGTGCTGCGCGTTTGCTGTGCATTTGATGGGTGTATGGCCCATGTAGAGAAAATGCCACTGTAGAGGGAGAAGGGCACAAGTGAACATGTGTAAGGAGCCCACTGAGTCAGTTTTTCTTTTCCCTTTTTTTTTTTTTTTTTTTTTTTTGGAGCTGTGGCGGCACCCTTCTGTGCAAGCGGAGCAGACGCATATGGTGGTACTTCACCGGTTAAGTCACTTGCACCCCTGAGGGGATTCATTCTGGTTAGGCCAACGGATTATGAGCATGTGGGGACAGGAGTATTGCCATTCATTAGCTTACCAACTGTTGTAAAAATGAAAACCTACACTGGTGGTAATAATATGTGGGGGGAGAGGATAACAACTCCCTGGTAATTGTAAAGTGTGCGTTGTGTAAAGTGTTCCATGTTGGGTAGACGCCGTGGTTTATACCACCTGGTCTCTTCTCCCCTTTTGGAAAAGCATTTCTTTTTTTTTACAACAAAATTACGAGTTACGGTTCCGCGTCAGACATGGTACACAAATTGGTGGTGCGCAAGTGACGCATTTAACCGTCACAAAGGTGTTTATTTTTGGAGTTTGCAAAATGTAGAAAAAGTAAAAATGCAGACATGATGGGAGAGAAGGAGAAAAAATCTCTCTCATGAAGGAACGAAAAATTGGACGTGGGGGAAAAGACAAAACGGTAGGGGCGAAATCTGCTCATCTTCGCACCTTTCTTTTTGCAGTGTATCTCCCAAGTTGCGGGATTCACCTCCCGTTTGCACTAACGTAAAAGAGGAAATGTAACAAACTAGGGTAGGGATACTGTGAACGTAGAGTTTTGAAGTAGCTGTGCATACTGGGAGGGAGGCAGTCCGCATGTGAGTCTTCCAACATGAGGGAAGAAATGGACGGGAAAAATGGCGTCAGGTCAATTAAAAAATTTGTTTCTTCCCTCCCATAAGATGTGGACGTAGTAAAAATGACGTACTTCATTCCATTGTCAGAAAAATGAATGAAAATATTTTTTGCCAAAATTTTTAACAAATCTGTATCGGCGTAAAATACATTTCGACACTCATCTGGAAATGACGTCGACGAAAGGAAAAATAAAATTGCGAACATCAGGGGGCTGAAAAAATAGGCCATTTTAAAAGATTCAATAATTTTTTCAAATATAGCAACAGCTAGCTGGGAACTGATCTGTATTTTTTTTTGCCAAGTGCAGGCTTTTATGCTTCTTCCATTTGTTTCTAGCAAGCGCTCCAGCTGTATATCCAGCGGGTCTGCGCCAAGACCATCCTGCCGATTAGCACTTTCGCAGTTAGCATCATTATGGGGATAGTTCCTTCCAAATTCACTAACAAAGCGTTGTACATCGTCTACAAGGAGGGGATGCTTCCCCTCGCTGTCTGCACAGGTCACCCGCTTAAAAATGTACTCCTCCGCTATGCGCACCAAGTGCGTATAAACTTCCATCTTCTCACCCAGGGAATCCCCAATGCATTTTCCCTCATGGACAATAAAAATTTGAATAAAGTATTTAAAAAAAATGGATACGTCCATGTGCTTTCCGATAAAATGGATGATGTGTTTGTTCAGTAAAAATTTGAAAACGGAATGGACAAGTGCGTCTTTTTTTTTCACGGTCTTCTCCTCGTGGGCAATTTCTACACGTTCCTGTTCCCCGCATCTCCGATTACATTCCCTAAATATATTTTTAAGTAGAAGCAGGAAGATATTTTTCTTGCTGTGGTAAAGCAGAAATTTTCCTTGTACATATTTACTTAGGAAAAGTATTATGTTCTTCGGGATGTCCATGTGGTGTCCATTGGTTGGAGGGGTCTCCTCGTTTATTCTCTGCTTACTCTCATTTGATCTATCTGGGGAGGAGTTAATTTGGTCACAGGAAGTCTGCTCGACGAGATCACATTTTTGTGAAGAAGAAATGCCCCCCTCTGTTTCTCCCCCTGGGCTGATACACCCTGCAAAGGGCGTGGCGAAAATTGCCCTCAAACAAAAGTAGCTTAACGGAACGGATGAACAAAAGCTCAAAGAGTATAGTAGCCCCTCCACAGCGTCTTCTTCATGGGAGTCATCGGTCTCATTACACATGAGGCGTGTTCCTCTCGTAAGGGCGTGAACGTTGTAAAAAAGGTACGAGAGTGGTAAAAAAAGGCTATACGAGTCATGCACATGTTCCACGTAAAAAATGTCCTTCTTGAAGTGAATCAGTGTATCCTGTTCAAACGTACTAATATCTTGAGCAATGCGTTTGAAAGACATGAGTGTTGTGTGGTTCCCTTTGTGGTGAAAAAGAAATGAGAGCTCCATGACGATGAGCAAAATTGTGTGCAATAGTTGGAGAAGAATGACGAAGAAGAAATGCCAATCGAGTTCGTTTTTGTAAATCACGTAGTTGAAGGGGACGGGGCCGTCCGTCATGCGGCGAATTATGTTCTGGATGATGTTCCGGTAGTCGGCGTTCTTGTGCTGCCCCTTCTGCTGCTCCGTCTGCCGCCTCCTCTGCTGCTCCTCCGTGTAGGCTTCTAACAAGTCGTTAAATTGATCGATGACCGCTGGGAGCAGCTGCTGGAGCGTTTTCAGCAGTGCCTCCACATGCTCGTGGCCAAAATACTTTTCTCCAATCAGGCGCTTCCTCCTCATGGACCATAAAACAGAAAAAAGGTAAACGCCACACTGATGAATTAACTGGAGGTTGCACAGGTGCGCCAAGTCCCATTTGTTTTTTTGCCTATCGCCTCTTTTCGCTGTCACGCCGGGTTGCCCCTTCACCTCTTCATGGCGAAAAAGAGCCCCCACCTGCATCTGCAGCGTGTTCATAATTTTATTCGTGTACAGGAATCCTGACAAATCCACATTCCCTCCCAAAACATTGTAAGTGGCTAAATATAAAAACACTTGTGAGAGAAACTTTTTGTAAATGCCATCATCATTATCGATGCCCCTTTTGTGTACATAATTAATGAGGTCATGAAAATAATCAACCGGTTCTGTGTACAAGTTGCAAAAGAGTAATACTCTAAATACCTTCAAAATTTCGCTCCCCAAAAAAAAGACCTCCTTTTTGTCCCCACCATTTCGAATAAACGGAAGGCTTCTATAAAATAGCAAAAAGGAAAGGACTTTAAATTTTTTTAAAAAGTCCTTATCGTAATTGTATATGATCGCATACTTTATCAGCGTTATTAAATTGTATGTAAAATTTGTTTCAACATAATCCGCTTGGTTTATTCCTCGATCTTCCCTCTCCTTGTTCAATTCACTTCCTATTATCTTCGATTCGTAAATTTTTTCTAAGTTCGTTATGAGGTCTGTACATGTGAGTAGGTTTATTTGCTGCTTGCATCTGGACAGCAGACCTATTAAAAGGCATACACAACTGTTTTCCACTTGGACCACGCCGAAATTGTTTTGTAGAATGGTACTTATGTTGGTGAGAACATCCTCATATGTGTACCCGTCAACGTCCCTCAGCAATACCATTTTAAGATTTATTTTCTGCATCTCTTGTAGGTCGTCCGTGGTGCTGCTGAGCGGTTTGAGGTGAGCGATGAGCTCTTCCTCTACGGGCACTTTTGTCATCATTACGTTTTGTTCTTTTGACCATTTTTCCCTTTTTGATTTGTCTTCCTTCTCCTTCCCTGCTACTTCTCCCTTTTCTAACTTCCTGGCCACCTTGGACCAGTCGTTGCCTCCCCACTGCTCGGACTCGTTTGGCGAGTGCCCCGTCTCCTCACCCCCCAGTTTCACTTCACCAGGGGAGTTACCCCCCTCTGCGTATTCTTTATCAGACTTATTCTCATATTCGCAGGTGTGTTCGTTAGTAGGTACTTTAGCTTCCCCCCTCTTGCGCGTGTCGTAAAAATAAACATTACACCCTTCGAACAGAAAGGCGCTGTCGCTGAAAAAGTCCAGGTAGGAAAACACCTCGTAGTCGTGAACGAATGTGAGAACGGGTGAGTCTCGTTCCCCCCAATAATCAAACACCACGTCTTCGTTCAAAGCGCAAACATTGTTGGGGAAGGTATAGCTAGCCAAGCAATGCACAGAACCCAATTCGATATTCTTATTCCTGCAGTGCCTAAGTAAGAAAAGGAGCTTGTCAAATAGGTTTAAGTCACTGTTCAGGTAGTTGAAAAATCTTCTGTACGTGAACCCAAAGGAGTATTTGTCCTTTGTCGGGAGGGCATTTTTGTCACGGTAGAGGTAGGATGTTAAATTCTCTTCAAAGGAGAAAGTTCTTAAATGCGAATTAACAAAAACGTTGGTCATAATTTTCAGAGCTATACAGACTTGACTGCTATTCGAACTTTGACACAGAAAAATCAGTTCTGGAAATGTGTACCCACTATTAAGTGGTTCATCATTGTGGTGATATAGTCCATCGAAATGATTGAATATTTTTTTTTTTTTTTTTTATTCAATTCAGTTTCGTTTATTTGTATTCTTAATTTTCCTTCAAAATCGAAACGTACTTGATGTAATTTGACTTCACTAAAACTTTTTATTTCTCTTACTTCTTCATCGCTGACTGGGTTTGTCCACTGCAGTTTTGCTACTTCGTTTTGGTTTAGTTGGAAGGTCAATTTGTGCTTTTCCTTCATTTCATTCTTCCCTCCTTTTCTCTCAACATCGCCATGGTTGACCTGTTCGCGTCCGTTTGGTTGGCTATTTCCGTCCTCACGACTCCTTCCATCAATAGGATGGGCTTTTTTGGTAATTTTAGAAGCGGTTTCCGCATCAAGCGCGCCATAAATTTTACCCAGGTTTAGCCTCTCCTGGAGGTCGTCTTTTTGCAAGTTCAACAGGCTGCGGTGCAGGGCTGGTGGGAAACTGAGCCGCGGGGGGTCGCCCGTCTGGCTGGTGCGGCAACTTGGGTATTGTTCCTCATGACGCTGTTGTTCTTCGGCACCGTGTTGCTTCTCATCTCCACGTTGCTCATCGGGGAGACCGCCTTCCTCCTCGCTCGAAGAATCCACGTATCTCTCAACTATGTCGAAGTCACACCGGTTGAGGATGGGCTGGTCGTTGGTCCGTTCCTGCCGCAGCTTATCTTGCAGGCGGTCCATGATGCTACGGCGCAGATTCGCGACGGATCAATGGAGCGACAAAGACGTTGCAAAGGCAAGTGCCCACGCAGGTTTTTCAATTTTGGCCTGACTTCTGTTATTAACCCAGATTTGCTCCCCCGTTGAGTGACAACATGGTGTGTATTTTATGAAAAGAAAATTATTATTATTTTTTTTTTTTTTTTTGGTGCTGTTTGCCATGTACAAGTCGCCCCGCGCTTGGCTAATAATGGCGTCGCCTCTGGAGAAATGCACCAGGATTATAAAACGCACCGGGGTGGGGAGCAAAAAAAGGGATAAACAACGGAAAAAAAAAAAAAATACCAAACATATATATACATATTATGTATGCTTTGTTTGGGCGGAAGGATCCAGTGAAGGGGCTACCGCCGATCTATTTGCGCGCAAGTGATGTGGCGCAAAAGTGCAACTGTTTCAATTCGTTCGACCGAGTCACCTGCAGGGCACAGTTATTTTTACTAAGCGAGCAACTCACGCACGCAGTGCATGAGAGAAAATCGCTGATCGTTCTTTGGGACACACACCAGTGGAAAGCGCCGGAAAAGCTAGTACGACAATACACACACAAAAAAAAAACAAAATGGTTAACATAAATGTAATGTAATGCCTTCGGGGTGATAGATGACTTAGCATTTTTTTTTTTTTTTTGCTGAGCTTCTGTTAAGGTTGCAAGTCGAATGCATCGCCGCAGATGCCCCTTTGGAAATTATCAGTTGGACGTTGCCGCCTCACAAGTGGGCACAAAAAAAAAAAAAAAAAAAAAAAAAAATGATCGGGTGGGCAAAATCGATTGTGAGGTTGACGCCGAATGGGTGGAAAGTCCCCCGGAAGTGGTTGCCACCCCCCGCAGAGCAGCGGAGGCTGTTCGGGTCAAGTACCCCACCCGATGAGCTGACCAGAAAAATCATACTGGAAAGTAACTACAGACACATAAAAGAAATGAAGAGCCAGGAATTGAGAGTACTCTCAGAGAACTGCAGTAACAAAAGAATACAAGACGTCGTTTTGTGGAGTGAGATATCGCGACATGCTATTGACAGATGTGATGAGTTTAAATATTTCGACGCACTGTTGCTGCTGAGCTCGTTTGAAAAAATGAACCTGGCAGATGATAACTTATACAAAACATTTGCTCATGTCTTTGTAAAGCAAATAAATCATATGGAGCCCAGACACTTCATCCTCCTAATTAATTTATACTGCAAAGCGAATTTATTTCCACGGGTATTATTTGTTCAAGTTTTTCATGCCATTGTTAGATACTGTTGGAAATTTTATCCACAGGAGTATGTAGATTTGCTGGTCTGTTTTGCAAGCTTAAATATTTCCAATGTGGACCTCATGAGGACTTTATGTAAATCCATGGTAAAAAATGTAAACTTGTTCGACTATAGCAACCTGTGTTGCATTGTGGGGTGTCTGCGACGATTGGATGTTCATGACGATGTCATTTATTACGTCCTCGATGAGAAACAGCAGAAGGAATTAAAATTATTAACCACACAGGAGCTGTTCGATCTTATGAAAAAAGTGAAGCTACTTAAATACAGTTGGGAGGTATATGAAAAAGATTTACTTGATGAATTTTTGAAGCGTATTGATAATTTCCAGGGTGATAAGGATGTTAATCAGTTGGAAGATCCCTTCGTTTGTTTAAATTTCCTCGTTTCCAAACAGTACGTAAAAAATAACTTTCTTATTGCACTTAGCAAATGGTGTGCATCACATGTGTATGAGTATCCTTCAAGGTCTGCTAAGAGACCCCTGGCTTACCAACTCATTATGCTATACCAACTCATGCAAGAACATGATGTTAAAAATTATACCTTTATTGAGAAGGCCATTCATAGGTTTGTAATTAGTCGGGGGGGGTTGGCTGTCAACCGGGACAAAATGACCAAGCCAGTCTCTTACCAGAAGGGGCGCAAGTATATCTTCACTCGGGACCCCCTCGAGGGTGCTGGCGCGGCGGAAGTGGACACGTCAAGCGATCGACTCGTAGACCAACCCAATGGTGAGGATTCCTACCTAGACGAGGGCATGTCGTACGGGGTCAGCGAAGAAGATGGGTATACCGCTCCACAGCGTTACTCCGACGTGCAGGAGTCGAGTTCTGTGACGGAGAAGCAGCGGTCCATCAATTTGAGCCTGGGGGAAGGCACCCAGCGCAAGAAACCCTCTGTGCATTCGCACGGAAGGCACTTCAATTTTAAGTTGCGGCAGCGGCCGAAGCGCGTGAAAAATGGGGCCGTCCCGGTTGATACGTGAAGGGAAAAGGCGGCGTTGCCATTCCATTCAGATGTGGATAGCAACGTGAATATGTATTCTCTCCCTACAACGGTCCCCCGTGGTTCGCTTTTATTTTTTTTAATTTTTTTTTAAAGAAATTGATACAGTTTTTTCATTTGAATTGTCATTTAGTTCAGTTATTTAATTAAAGAGGCATGCAGAGCGGCATAAACGGGTAAGATGCACCGTCTCTGGTGAGACGAAGGAAAAAAAACAAAATGGGCTTTTTTTTCTATCGCCCGAAGGGTGGGGGACAGGAGCGGGCACAGTTCAGCGGATGAGCAAATGAGCTTATACGCTGCTTCCGTGGTGCCAGCGTCGGTGTTACATTTTTACCGGTCGCTTCCACCCCTTTGTCCTATTTCTGCCATGCAGATTAACACTTGTAACTATACATAAACTTAAAGCTGTTTCCATTTTGCAATTACATTGGGTGAAGTTTCACACGACTGTTTCATCGAAGTTGTCACATCCTGCCGCTGTACACAAATGCAGTGAATTTAAAAAATAAAGGCAACACCCAACGCACAAGTATGTACGTGTGTGTGCTCACAGGTAATTGCTGTTAATTTTTTTTAAAGGTAATTTGGGGAGTGTGTCATTGTTATGTGTCTCATATGCTATTTTTTTTCATTTTGAAATATCCTATTTTTTTGCCTTTTAAAATATGCTATTTTTTTGCATTTCACATTATGCTATTTTTTTGCATTTCACATTATGCTATTTTTATTTCTCTCTTTTTTGCTGTTTTTTTTTTTTCACTTGCCCCTCTTATCTCGCTTCGCTTCACATCGCTTCGTATGGCTTGGCCTGTCCTGAAGATGAGGATTCCGAATCCCTCTCCGGTGGCCATTCCGTACATCCGTGTGGCTCTCCCCCACAGAAAGCAGCACAACAGCACTCTCATTTTTCTCCACGCGCCCGGAGCGGAACCATCACTTGAGAAAGGAAAAGGAGCTCTTCGGGAAAATATACACTTTCTGGCATTTATTGAAACCATTAAACTTGGAAGAGCTAACAAATGTATATGCTCCTGCATATTCATATATGACCCAGTCGTTAATATAGCATTCTGGTAGGTATGTAATGGATGTGATCATATCTAACCCATCACAGGATTGTCCAAATATGTTTGCTAGATACAGAGGGGAAGTTACCAAATCTTCACATGGAGTATTATTGCTATCTCCTTGGTTCCGAATTACATACACTGGGGCTCTATTGTACTCGTCAAATATAATACCACTGAAGCAGCCATATATGCTATCGCTGACGTAGTAAGAGTAGTAGTTGTACCTATTGTCGTTAATGCTGACCACCTTTCTCTTTATGTTTGTTATATTTCCTAACTTGGAATTGTCGTTGCAGGTAAGGGTGGTGTGGCTGAGGAGCAGCAGGTCCTCCGCGTTCTTACCCTTTTCTGCGTTGTTCGAGCCTTCCCCCTCATTCGTGGCACCTCCGTTTACCCCCTCCTGCACTTGGTTTGTCGTCTTTCCCCATTCACTGCTGTTCACATGATTGCTGTACCCCTCACCGATGACCCCCTCACCGGTGATCGCTTCATCGACGTCTCCCTCGCCTTTGTTCGCTTCTGCGCTATCTCCCCCTTCTGGTTGCGCGCCCCCCTTGGCAAAATTAAGCGGATCAACTCCTTTCATGTCTCTGAGTCTAATTGGGTGGAACGTGGGGTGCCTCTTGCCAATAACCTTAACAGCCAAAGTGCACGAAGCAGCAACCATATATCTTCCAGGTTCACAAATGATTCTGAGTTTGGACTTTATATCTTTAAAATAGTGTTCGATGGACATATTAATAGCAAGGGCAATTTTCTCAAAGTTGTAAAAGTTATACTTTGTTTTCATCACGCACTTTTCATTAAGGAAGCTCTGTATATCTTTCTTTAGCTCCGATGTATTCAAGGTGCAATATTTGTTCTTTTCATTTTTCTTAGCATTGTCGTATTCTAATTCTTCTGGGTATCCTCCCCCGAGGTTTAAAATTTGAAAATTGTATCCCATTTTTTTACTCATGTTCCACACATCCCTAGACAATTTAATGGCTTGACAATAATCGAAGAGATTCTTTGTATTGCTGCCAACATGAAAAGAGACCCCTACGATATTTAAATTATGTTTTCTTCCAAAGGCGAGTATGTTTTCCCATTCGTGTTCATTGGCTCCATACTTGGAAGACATATATGATTTGTAATTTTTAAAATCCACGTTGATGCGCAGTAGTAGAGAACACTTGGGATGATATTTGAGGATTTTCTTCAACTCTTCAATATTGTCAAATGTACACAGATTTATATTTTCATTTCTTGCAAATATGAGCGAGTTAATACTTTTTATAGTGTTAGCATAAATGATTCTTTCTCTGGCGATATCCGGAAGCAGCGTTGTTAATTTTTTTACTTCCCCAACAGATGCACAATCAAAATTGCAATTCAGTCCATATAAGAATTTAAGCACTACATCATCATTATTACTTTTAACAGAATAGAATGGAGTTACACTTGGAAGGTTTTTTTTAAATCGAATGTACTGTGCAAGTATTTTTTGTAAATTTATACATACAACTGATGTGTCTATGTCTTCATTTAGAATTGTACTCAGCGTGAACATTTCGATTTTGTTTTTGCGATAGTAGTTTATCATTTCTTCTTTATGTTTTTCTTCTGGGCACTCTTCTTCATTCGTTTGCGTTATTTGTACTGCGCCGGTTGGGGATGCGCCCTTTCCATGGTCTGCATTGTTCGCGGTGCTGTCCAACCCGCGTGTGGAGTTAAGTGCCGTCCTTCTTCCGTTACAGTCTCCGTCACGTTCGTTTGAACCCCCTTCGTTCATCATGAGCGAATCTTCTGAGAAATTTCTACACGAGGTGGTTTCACTATTCCTGCAGGGGGTGCTCGGCTCCAAGCATCCAGTGTTATCCTCACATTCTGTACCTATATCCACCACCATCACTCTGTTGTGCTTGCAGAATAGGTAGCTATATGTGTACATGTCATTTATTGCGTGATTGGGTAGAGGAGTGACAACGAAGTTATTTCCAATTTGCTTGCTTGTTTCACTTGGGACAGAGAGATTGATTCCCCTAACGTCGCTAACACTTTTCAACTCGTATACAAAATACTGTATTTTGAGAAATCCTATTGTGAGTTCCTTCATGCAAAGGATAGCGTAATATTGTTCGTTGTTCAGTACAATGTTGTTGCACATATTTCTGTGTAGGATTGTGGCCTCTGAGGTGGGGGAAGATACTCCTCCAAGACGATTTCCAATACCGCTTCCTTCAAAATCGTAATGATAATTCACCACGTAAAGCACCTTTGCTCCGTAAAAACTGAGTTGGTTAGCCATAAATCTGACAAAGCTGTCGCTCCTCAAGGTACTTGAAAGTTCAATCGAGACGTACGACACCAAATCTTCCGGAGAGTAATGAACACAGTAGTAGTTGTTCTTGTGTGAGACATTGCATGAATAACCACATGGCGTAAAATAAAATTCGTTGTATAGAAATTTCTCCTTGTTATTTTGTACGTGTGAGCATTCATACAAATTTGTATCTAATTTCTTTACGCACACCTGGGGCTTTCCACTGTCCACGTGTTTCATGTGTCGGGTACTCCTCGGTGATGAGGCAGCGGAGGATAGTTCTGTACCGCCCAGTTTGAGACAGTTATCTAAGGCGCTACAATTGTTCAAACTGGAATAGGCATTCCTTAAGTGAATTACATTACTGCCGTTGGAGCTACACTGAGATGATGTGGCGAAGACATCGTGTCCACTTCTTACCTCTTTGTCCTTTGCCATGGATTCATTTGGAAGGTAAAATTCGTTTATGTATCCGTTGCTTCCGGGGTTGCTTTCCCTCTTTTGTTCAACTTTAACATCTCCTCGACTTCTTCCATCCAAGGGGTGCAATTCGCCCTGCGCGTATTTGTTCTCGTTCAGGGTTGGCGGGAGGAGTAGCTTCTGATCGTCCGTCACGGTTGTCATCGCGCTTGCAATGGTGATGCTGCTTCCCCTGTTGTGACTGCTGCCCCCCAGAGCGAATTCCTCATTTCTGTACGACGCGGTGTCCTCACTAACGGCTTCATTCAAATTCTTGTCACCCATGTCGGTGATTTTCAAGTGGAAGTTGGAAAACGCTTCTTTGCGCATATGTCCATAGTAGCCCATATCCTCAACATGTTTAAATGGACTCACCGTGTCCTTGTACCTGGTACTCGTGTTCGTTGTACTTTTCGAAGAGCACTCTGCGTAATCATAAGAATTCTCGCTACAGCATATGTCCGTTTTTTCATGCTCTTCATAAACCTTTTGTGTTTCCCCTCTGGGTAGAAATATGTCTAAGGAGTCCTTATTCAAATACACTTCATGGAACTTCGCCTTGTCGCTGTATTTGTTGATTCCAAATAAGTGCATTTCTGAGCAGAACTTTTGAGCGCTTGAGGGGAAGTGGACTGCTGCGTTCGTAGATCCATTAGCAGTACTGCTCTGTACCTCACTGACCTGCGCAAAGAAGATGTAGTGATTTCTCCCATGCGGCAGGGGGGTGTTGGCAAACTGAAAATTCTTGAAGAAAAATTGGAAAAATATTTTTTCATCCTCAATGGACTTGTGTGGGTACTCTTGCTCGTAGTAGCCATCCTTCGTTTTGTTCTGATAATTCATATGTGTGAAGAATGCGTATTCGAAATGGTCCCCAATAAAAGCAACAACGTCGGTCAAATCATTTTTGGCAAGAAAATTTTCGTCGTATATTCCATCGGTCTTCAAAGCATATTTATTCGTAAATTTCAGTATTAACAAATCGACCAAAAAGGGAATGAAAAATAATACTTTTGTTTTTCCACAAGTTTTTATAAACACCATATCTTTGTAGATAAAGAGGGAGCTTTCAGAGAGGAGGTACACTCTGCATCTTTCTTCTTCTGGTGCTTGCACATCTTCTTCTATTTCTGACACGATGCTGCACCCGATAAATTTGAGTTTCTCCTCCCATAATTCTCTGGAGATGTCTAGTAGGGATGAAATATTTTTCTCCTTTTCAAAGCATTCCTTCCTCAGCTTAATTATAACTCTCTTTTCGATTCCTTCGAAGACGTTCATTTTGGTCAACAGAAAATATATACACGTGTGTTATTAGCAATTCTCAAATTTTTCGTGTGGTCGGGAAAATGCGCGGTGCGTTCACGCTTGCAACTATACAAAATATACTCTGGCTAAGTTAACGTCTACTATGTAGGGGCTGTCTTATTCAGAGGGGTGGTGTTGCTGCTGCTTCTGGTGGAGACATCCAATGGGTATCCTTTTGAGGGGAAACAACGTCCTTTTCTGTTCTTCGCTGCTTCAATTCGGGGAAGTCCCTCCTCAGAAAGGTGAAAATATATGCGCCAATTTTGCGTACTTGACAAAAACTGTCCTCTTCTCGTTCTTCTTCTTTTTTATTTATTCTTTTTAGTGCATCAACTTGTAATGGCAAGGGAGATGGGGCATATATACAGCGCTGAGACGCTGCAACAGAGGCAGATTATATAACAGGGAAAAAAAAAAAAAAAAAAAGTATCGTGGAGCAAAAATTTACTTGAGGCTATAGCAAATTGTACATTCTTCTATATATGTATCTTATCGCGGCGAGTTTTATTTTTCCCAAATGGGGCGCGGACGGGGTGCTTTCTCTTGAATTTCTTTGCCTTCGTGAGCCCAACATGCGACGTGGTGTGTGCATGTGCTGGGATAATTACATATGCACATGTAACGTTTTTGCGTGGTAATATCTTCTTTAAGGGGGTATCCTTTTCGTGGTGGAAACGCGCACTACAACGGACAGTATAAATAATAATTATATATATATATTGGCTAAAAAAAAGAAGAAGGAAAAAAAAAAAAACGCCCTGTAATATACACAAAATGGGGTATCGTTGGAGGGGGTACTCTTCAACTTCTTGCGCTACGTGGATTCCTTTTTTCTCCTTGGCGTGTGCATCGATACATGATGTTTATTTACTGTTTGACTGTTGCTATCAGAGTTGGGATTACAAAATACTTTAACACGCATTTATATAACCGTATATTTGGGTGTGGGGGGATATGAGTTGTGCACTACTTGGTCAGTTTTTTTTTTTTTTTTTTATCTCTCCCTGTCTACATGAACTGTGTTGTGTGTTTCCTCCTTCTTGCATGTGTTAGCTCATGATTGATTTGTGGTGGGGGACACGCACCTGTTTCCTGTTGCCCCTTCACTTGTTATTTTTTGCTACTTCCTCGCCTATCCTCTGTTATTTTTGTTACTTGTTCACCTGTCACTTTTTTTTTTTTTTTTTCACTTGTCTCCTCTTCCACTTTTTTAGCCTCTTCGCTTCCCAGCGTCAGCTATGGTCCAATTCTCCTGTTGTCCGTTTTTTCCTACTCTCCTCTGCTACCCACAAGCAAGACACATTACAAATGGCTGTGCTTCTATTAAATATGGGGGAGGGTCGGGTTGGTGGGTGGGTGGGGGGGGGTACCACGGGGGTGCTATGTAAAGCGCGCGTAGGGTGGTGGCCAGCCGAGGGGGGCTTTCCTTCTCTGCCTTCCTTGTCTTAGTAGGGATTTCGCTATATTAGCACTATGCATATAAAAAAACACTACGTCAATCGGAGCGGGGACCCCAGGGTAGGACTTTGCAAAACGGGTGAATGATAAGTCTGTATATATATGTATTTGTATTTGTGTTAATATACAAATGTGCCTTTATATTTATGTATGACGCCTGGATCAGAAAGAGTCCTCTTTCGTTTGTGTGTCGACTTATGCATTAAACATATGCTAGGGAATTCCCTCATTGACATTGGAACAGGCAAAGATGATCAACCTGATTCTTCGTTTCTGTTGGTTTCTTCGAAATACTGATTTATTGAAAATCATAGTAACATAAATTTATATATATATATTCATAGGAAGAGTGAATCCTCTCATTGGGGTGTATTTTGATCTGAGTGTGTCATAGGGGGTACATATACATATGCGAGGAGGCATGCATGTATATGTGTGTGCATAACTTGTAGGTCCTTTGTCTATTTCGCTGTGCAGTTGCTTTGCGTTTTAGGTTACAGTTGTGGGTCGGTTTGTGGGGGAACGGGGGCGATTCCCTTTTATAATGTGCATTCACACGTGGGTGGCAGTTATTGCGGTGACAAAAGACTTTCCACACTTTTGGGGGGGGAAATATATGACTTAACAATAATACGGCAGCTGATCTTTTCAGGGGTGGCCGATGGCGCGAAAATGATTTTGGTTTCACTGATTTGTCTGTTCACTATTGATATGCGGTACGAACCTTTTGGCTCATAAAATGGGTACGTAAAAAATGGATATGTGTTTCTTATAAGATCTGAATCCTGCGAGGACGCACTGAATAGCTGTTTTTTTTTCCTTTTTTTTTTTTTTTTTTTCTTAATTCTGCTCTTTGCAAAATTCCTCTTTGGTAAAAAATGCTGAGCTTAATTTAACTGAGCATTAATGTATGAAACAACGTTGGTATGCAATCGAGTACGTGATATCACATACAATACATTGGTAGCGTGGGCAACGTGGGACGGTTTTAAACGACATAAAAAAAATGTTCGTTTGTGTCAATTCGTTTTCTTTGGTAAATCTGATAGTACTTTTAAACGCCTGGTCAAAATTTCGAAATGCGAGTGGCTGTTTTTTATACGCCTTTGCAGTATATATACAATAGCTAGTGAGAAAATATAGCTTCACAGGAGCATAAAAAAAACGTTCGAAGTTTTTTTATTTACTCTTTGTGGGGGCATAAAATTTTCAACTGTAGGAAAGTTTAAAATTATAAATTTTTCCTTGTATAGCTTTTTTGTATGGTCAAAAGTTTTTTGAGGGGTTTCATTATAAGTTCGCTTGCGCGGGTTGGTTTGTTTGGGATTGGTTAATTGGTTTTAAGTGGTTTGAATAATTTGTACTTCATATAGCATGTTAAAATTTGCGTTGATTTTTTAAATGTACCAAATTGCTAAACATATGCGAATTGCTATTTTGCGCATTTGCGCATTTTATTTGTTACCCTTGTGCAGGCAATTTTTTTTAAATTAAAATTTTTTTTTTTTAACCCACCGCGCTGCGTATGCGCACTGCCCACATTCAATTGTGCTCCCTTGTTCATATGACGCATCCCTCACTTTTTTTATGCACGCTTCACGTATTTTTTCGTAGCAAAAAAAAAAATGTACGTACCTCCCTATGAACAGTTCGCGATGACGCGGGGATTTTCTCCCCCGGGTTGGGAAGAAATGCCCAAATAAATAATGTGGGCGTGATGCGATGGTATTGTATTACATTTCTTCTATGTATATATATATATAAATATTTATGCATATTTATATATATTTATATATATTTATATATATTTATTTATATAGATATACCCAACGCGCGATGGTGCTTGGCCAACACGAGAAATGAACACTTTCCACATGTTGCACAGCGCCCACTATCACAGTTTACGAACCCAACATGACCGACTTTGCTTAGCCACGTCGCCAAGTTCCCACATTCGAACAGGCACAATGCTCTGCTCATAAGGGGTGGGGGTGAGGGCGATTCATCGCATGCATCACACATAATGGCGCAGGAAAAAAAGAGGAAGGATGAATATAGCATACTGTGCTCCCCCCCTGGGAGTCAGCGAACATGCAAAGGCATGGACGACTAGGGGTATCTACATAGCAAGGACCTTTTGCTCATGGGGTGAATGGCCACATGCACCTCGAGGCCATACTCACATGTATGTAAAATAAAATGTCCTACCTTTCCGTTGTGTGCGACGTGTAGTGTAAAGGGGGGGGGGGGGGTGCATAGAAGTATGGGTACTTCTGAAAGTGCTCATGCCTGAGAGCACGAACATACACTTTTTATATATTTGTGTATGCATCGTTCCGACAGCGCAAAAGGGTTGATTCTTTCTTAATATAATATATATAGTTATGCCGCCAACGCTGTTCAGGCTTTCCCCCCCTGTTGTTTTCACTTTTCTTTCCGTTCGAATTACCCCCATTTGCTACATTTTTATGCTTTCTCCCCCGAAGAGTGAAATCAGTCACCACGTATTCGACTTGTCCCGCGTGTACGCAATTTGTGCATCCTGTTGTCCCCTTCCCCATGGGGCTTATTATAAAAAGAGAGGGCAGGGGAGGGAAAGGTCAACCCTCTACCGTGGCGTCAAAAGGACGAAGGTGCATGTAGATGTAGGCATGTATAAATCAGCGCATTTATGTTTGTACGTATGTACACATGTGTACTCTATGTACACCTACTGAGCGGCGCGCGAAGGCTCTATGCATATTCGGTGAAGGAATAAACCCACACGAAAAGTGAAAGTACAAAGTTTTGTTTTCTTAAACGGCGCTTCCCCACGCATATGTATATAAACACTGCACTTGTTACAAAATGAACAAATTGGTTAAGGGAGAAGAGAGGCAGTGGGGGAACACTCCAGTGAAAGAACACATCTTAGGGGGCACCTTTTTTTCGTCACGCTAGTTTGGTTGAATGGGAAAGAGGCGATTTTCATGTATAGGTAGTGTAACGTCGCATGGGGTGCAAAGAATTCTCACTTTACAATTTTTTCTTTTTTTTTTTTTTCTTCTGCAATATCTTCCCTTTCCATTCTACTCTCAAATGTACAGATGTGCATTTGTTCGTGTTGGTGTATTCGACAAGAATACGTACGCGAAGGATAGTCATTGATCATAATGCAATGTGTGTTTTTTTTCCATTTCGTGGGGAGGACAAGATTATGTGTATATTATGGCGTATGTATGGGGAGGGGAAGAATATACCCTGTTAAAGGCTTCTTTTTTGTACTTGCCCATTTTGACAAGCATTACGGTAACTATCCAAAGGATGGAGTGTTACTCTTTTCCCTATCCCCTCTTAAGATAACCGACTCGCACGGAGAAGCGCACGTATGCATTCTTTTGTACCATCTTCGAGCTACGCACAAAAAGAGTGTTGTTTCCGTTCGTAACAATTCACACACAAAAGGGGAAGAAAGGAAAAAAAAAAAAAAAAAGTATTAAAATGAATTCATTACGTGCTATACAAATGTGTACATAAATGTGGGCGACTGGATTGTCCACTTTTGAGAGTACAAAGGAAAAATTAACCACAGGGAAAATATTCGAAAAGTCTTACGTTTTTGCAACTCACATAATTTTTGTCCCCCTCATGGGTATTCCGAAATGTGCACGCTTAATTGAGGAAGAATATAAATGAACAAAGAAAAGCATGAGAACAAAATATAACCATCGCGTAGTAGCAGCGCGTTTGTGAAATTTGGCGTATCGTTCACATCACTCGTCTAAACGCTTTTTGACCCATGCGTTCCGTGGAGTTCTCTTTTAGCACGGGTCTGTACGTGATTAAAAACGATTATCATATGTGCATAATGCGTGATGGGGTATCCAATATGTTCTTCACGCATTTGTTACCTCCCCCGCTTACTGTGACAATTTTACGTTCGACATCACTTTAAAATGGACGCTTATCAAATAATGCTTCAGACGGAAGGAAGCTTAACGACATGAGATGAACAAAATATTTTAGCCAACAACCTCCGTTGCGTATTTCCCTTTGGTGAAGAAGTTCATGGGCTGAACAGTTGCTACCGCTACACTCATATAGTAGTATGGCGCCTGGTTGGCCATGTGAGCATTTTCGTAGTTCACCATTGGAGTGATATTTTTAAAAGTACAAATTGTCTCCCATGTTGGGCGCAGTAGTTGCCCCTTTTTTGAGTGGCCAACTGGGGTTGGAAAGGAAGAAAAAAATATATATATATAAAATAAATGAATTAAACAAATCAGCTTAATCGTCACTATTGCGAAGAAGACATATTGTCAAATCTTCGTCCCTTTGGTCATGTCAAAATTGGCAAAATTTGAAAACGACCGAACGGTTACATGACAAGGGAAGTAATTTTTTTTTTTTTATCTCATGTTTTGTCCAGTTAGTGGGATGTTGCATGGGATTTACGACACGGGGATGGAAAGAGAGCCGATGGGGATTTTTCCCTTCAGCATTTTACGCTTGCACATATATAATTATATACATATGTATACACGTGTGTAATGTCGTGGCGCCAGTTAACTTGACCGCGCATATTGCCATGCGCAGGTCAACTTCACAACGGCACGTCGCCCCGGAGTAAAACAAACAAAAAAAAAGCGCACTGTGCCATGGAGGGGAGTCAACAACGGGGGAACAAATTTGTTAAGTTTAGCTTTGCAGCGTCAGTTTTTTTTTTTTTTTTTTTTTTTTTTTCCCAAACGATTATCCCTTCAAGTAGACATACACTCAAAATTTGTCAAAGATGAAGGATGTAAATAATTATGAATGGTCATACGCTTACACGCTTGTACACGTGTACTTGTATTGTTATTGGCATATGCCGTCCTGTCGCTTTAATTTAATTTTGTTTCCATTTTGGTTTAACGCGCGTACAATTACTCCCCGGCAACGTTCCGCAGCCCAACTGCCAACCCGGACCCCACCCGATTACGGGGCCTATAAACCCCATTCGGTACCTCCGGCCCCTGCAGGGTGCACATGTGTTCAGGCGATACATCAAAAAGGGGAAATAAAAAAAATACACCTTTTAACGCATGCGCGTCCGTCGCATTTGACCACCCCTTTGCAGTTACGGGCCCACATGTGTATGTAACTTACGGAGGCAGGAATGGATCATAAGCATCGTCCAATGTGGTAAATGTATAGACAAAAATGGAGAGGAAAAAAAAAAAAAAAAAGAAAATAGCATTCCCACTCGCAGTGTGTAACAACCCCTTCTAAAGGCAACCAAGCATATGCTCAAGTTTGTGTAAAATGATCATATGTACATATATGTTTCCCGCCTGTGTGTACACTTTTACCTTTCCTTATGCATTTTTTCCCCCAACATTATCGGCACACAAACTTTGGGGAAAAGAAATTAATTAAAGAAGTAGCACATGTCGCAATAATTTACTCATTTAATTTTACATTTCGGCACTTGAGGAGAAAAAAAAAAAAAAAATATAAAAAAAAAATTCTCCTTGTCTGCTCATATTTTATTTTATTATTTTTTTCCTATGTTTTATTATGGCAAATGCTGTTTTAAACTTTACCATCGTTGTATTCGCAACTGTTAAAAAAATATTTGAGGAACATACGCACTTGTGCGCCGGACATTACATAAACGCCATAAAAGGGGGGAAAAAAAAAAAAGAGCAAAACGGGGAAGTAAATCAACACGGTTAAAATATGAGCAAAAGGGTGAATATAAGCAGCGCGGTGAAGGAGCAAAGTGGTCAAGGAGCAAAAAGGTGAAGTGTAGCAACACTGTAATGAGCAAAACACGGGGAAATAACACAATTGCAGCATTTTACAAAACGGCGCCGTGACAATATTATCACTGTAATCGGAAGAGTCAACGAAACAAAAAAAAAATAAAATAAAAAAATAATAAAAATTCACCTTTTTTAATTGCTCATAAAAAAAAAAAAAAAAAAATTCCCTAATTATAATTTATGAGTGGTACCAGTTTTAAATTCTCCTAGGGTTTTTCTCTTTTTACATATATACGTGCACAAAAAAAAACACTCGCAGCCGCGTATGCGAAATTTGCACGCACTTTCCCCTCGCACATTTATCCGCCAGTGCCTTTAAAAAGATTATACCCACACCAAATTCAAATTTCATATCTCCACCCCCTTCCCATAATGAAAGTATCCAACGCTTTTTTTATCTTCCAATCGCTTGTCGTATTGTACTATTTCACACCATGTCTGGCGCAAAGGAGGTACGTCAATGCGGCTTCAGTGGATTCATTAAAGTCGATTGACCAGGAACTGCAGAAGAAGAAAAACAAGAAGAAGAAAATGGCCTTGTATTCCATAGGCTCCATTGTGGCACTAGCAACAGCCATAGCAGGTGGAGTAGGCCTAGGAATGTACATTAATGAGAAAAAAAAAAAATCAGAAAACGTACAGGAAATTGAAAAGTCAGAAAACAAGACAACAGAAGAACAGGATACACTGTTGAATAAATCTGAGGATGCCAATATTGAGATTAAAGGGGATAGCGAAGAGATTATAACCAAGGTGAGCGTCCAACCCAGCTATGCAGGATTAGGCACACAGAACTTTAGTAATAGGGATCTTTCAAGTATTGGCAACGTATCCGATAATACCAATAATGGACCAGGTTTAAAATCAGGTGACTTCCCTGATTCTATATTTAGACAAAATTTGGATGATAATGAGTACCGACCTCTGATGTTGGAAGATGCCTTGGATGACTCCCCACTTAGTGACCCAGTTCAAAGTGGACCTTCTAATTCCATGAACAGCGGAAGTGGTGACTCCAGTTTAAATTTGTTTTATGACAGCAGAAGAGATATAGGTATATATGGACAGGACAGATTGTTCAAAACTTTAGATTCAGATATAGAACCTCTAATTATCCCTACAAAATACCCAACAGTTGGAAATAAAGATGCCTCCCCAAGTGGTGTTGGTTCGTCTTCGAATTTTTCAGATGGACCAAGTACATCTAGTTACTCTAGGTATAACGATTATTCGCAAGGCATTGGCAGCTCTACTCGACATTATAGCTCTTCTTCTAGCGGGAGCCGAGGATATGGCTTAGGTTCGCATAGTGATATGGGATATGCAGGTGGTGTCCCCATCTCTGGGCTTAGAGCACTAAATAGATGATGTAACAATTTTTGTAAATAAATATATATATACACATATATATATATATATATAATGGGGCAGTGGGGGTGCAAGGATGTTTACCTTATGTTGAACTTGTGCACATATATATATACACGTTTTTGTGCAGGTCCACGGATCTAGATTCGCAGGATGTATAACATAAGAAAACGATTCTCATATTGTTATTTGGAAGAGGAAAAAGGCGGACTTTAAATAAAGCGCCTTGTGTAGTATTTTATGGAGACATGGAATGTGTTAAGAAGCCGAAACGATGACTTACCTTTTCACGCATTGCGGACTGGGGGACGCTTCGCCTGGCTTCCCCCCCCCCCCAAGCACAATTACCGAGGATCATCCGATGAGTTCATCCGTTCATCAGTTCACCATCCGATGAGTCGTTGGCCAATTTTGTTATGCACCACACCACTAGCAGTGGCACCC